TGGACCGAGATTAAAGTTAATCTACATTGATGAAAATGGGCATTAACATTCTAGCAACTACAATATAAAACACTTACTTGAATCTAGATAATAATTATTAATTAGTTAAAAGTCTACACATAATTATTTTGATGGTCCAAACAAAATTATTTTTGAATCTGTAGCTAAATTTAATACTTCAACAAAACCATAATGGATACTTTGTACATAGTTGGAAAATTTGTGTTAAATTCAACACATTTTACATGTTTACTTAAATTTATGTGTTAATTCAATACAAAATGAATATGTTCGAAAGTAACACAAATAAACGCAAAAAAATTAACACAAAAATGTAACCCTGACATAGTTTATAAGTAAACTACGAAGCATATTTTTCAATAAAATTAACATTTATGACGTGTTAAATTAATAATTACGTACTTTATTCATTCATGATATCTGACTCTCACCCCCGCTCTTTAGAATTTATATTTTAAAACACATTATTTTTACGTCATTTGTTTACTTATAAATTGTTCACTTATAAATTTTATACTAAAAGATGTTGAATATCAATTTAACACAAGATATTTAAATAACATAATTATATTATGTTAAATTAACACTCGAATTTGTTAAAAAATTTAACACAAAAACGTGAGTGAACCGTTTCTAACAAATACAAAATATTTTTTACTATGTAGCAAGGAAATCGAATAAACGGAAGGTATAACTTATTGACAGACATTTTAATTATTAACATGATTAAAACAGAACTGCATAGAGATAATTAAAAGATCAATCTCGCAGCAAACACTTGCCGGCAACTACGGGTCATCCTGTATACGCCTATTCCAGAGAATTGAGAGAGCTAACGTAAATAATGGACGACTATGGCGTCGATACGGCATTGACGGGGTAAGATCGGCGTTATCTTTAATTGGGACGTGACGAGAGCAAGAAAATTGCACAGTCATCTAACGTTTCGCCGCCGCGTCTTGAAATCGATGAAAGCAATCCGCTAGTGTGGCGACCAATATATATATATATTTTTTCCTTTTTTTTTCTCCCATTAACGCCTAGAGACGAAAAATTTTTCGCGTCATGCGAAAAACAGACGCAACTTCGACGAAGCGATCGACGTCAACAATCTGTAATGACGAGCTCGTATTTTCCGCTAATCATATAGGCCGTACAGACGCGGAGGCGCCTGCCATTTGCTCGATCGTTTCAATGCCCGCCCTTTTGCCGCATTGTTGATTTCGTCAAAGTCTTCGCATAAGATGTTACGTAATATCCGAATGCACGAATAGACGAAATTCTATGCAATATTCACCGTTGCCTAGCCGGCTTCGCTTTGTCATTACAGTTGCGTTTCTCGTAACTTGCCTGCTTACACCCACTTTCCTTTCCGATACCAACCGGCATACATTTGTTATTGGGACATCGTTTTCGCGTCGCCTTTTTCTCTCATCGATTAGTAGACCTTCTGTTGTGTATCCAACTTTTCTACAATATCGATCTTACATCTTTTACGTAAGGTTCAATGGATGTTTTCAACGTTTTTTCGTAACCGTAAACTAAACGATCAAATTGGCATGTTAATTAATAACAGCGTGCTAAAATCAAAGTGTATAATATCGATGACATGCTGTGCCGCTTCGTCAGCTTGTAATCGAGTCGTCGGTCAATTGTGTGTTGACTAAGAGCCCAAGCGTTTTGCTGAGAATGTTGAAAAAAGAAGGAGAGAGAGAGAGAGAGAGAGAAAAGAGAGAGAAAGAAAAAAATCGTTCCACGTATCGGTCTCGTAGGTATCCGTCAAGCCGCGCGAGTGCGAGGGTAATTTAGTGGAAGGCGACTGCTCACTCATTCGCGCCTCCTAGGCTGTACGCACTCGCGCCTTTTTCTGCTTCCTCCTTGTCGAGGGTGGATAGAAAAATGGCGATGGCGTTTTCTAGAGTGCTCGGGAGATCGAACATATTGCTGCTTGAAAATCATCGCGGATAATACAGGGTTGCCACAAAATTCGAAATCGGAGAAATCAGGGAATTTTGCAAAACTTGTTGGAAAATTAAAATTCTTGGCTTACAAAGAAGTTTAACGTATACATCATACCTATATAATTTTGGAATACTATCAATTTAACAATTAAAAATGCAAACAGTATCAGCAATATTAATAGTAATTCATATTGCTACGTTAAATGCTCTCTCGATAAAATATTTAACCGTTTCCAAATCAGGACGAAAATACACAAAATTTTTAAATATTATTGAAAGTCAAAAAATCATGAAATTTTGGAAATCAGAGAAACGTTGGAATTTTAGAATGAAAAATTTGTGACAATTCTGTAATGATCCTCTTTTAGGTGTGTATTTTAAAATCTTGTAATTCCAAAATATCCAAAATAAATGTCTATTTTGTAGGGTATATCACAATTCGCAAATCATTTTTCGTGGGCAGATAAAACTAAACTGAATTGAAAGGTTCTACATTATTTGTAATTTCCCATTAATAAATGATTAATCTTTAAGTAGATAAATGATTTAAAGATACGCAAGTTGGTAAGTGGGATACTCGATTAGAACATCTTTGAAACAAATTTTAATTCTATAGTTATATTTTTTTATTAGTATATTATGTTATAGTTAAATAATAAAATTGAAAATCGGACTCTCACCACTTAAAATAATAACAATACCAATTTAAGGCTAATAAGAATCGACACAGGACGAGGTACGTAATTTTAATGATGACTTAACTCCTTGCCTTGACGGATTACTGAGTTTTATTTGATGCGTAATATTTGATGAAGAAAGTGTTTGTATATGCTGAGGAAGACTCAAAAGAGAGTCGAAACGTTCATGTTGAATAAAGAAGACATCACGGAGTTATTGGAGTTAAGTCATCATTCCACATTAAAATTACACACCTCGTCCTGTGTCGACTCTTATTAGCCTTAAATTAGTATTGTTATTGTTATAGTTAAATTTATATCAGTTGTCTCTATAAAACAGAACTGATAGAGGAATATAAAATATTCAACTTTAAAATTTATGGACATCTGCACTGTTAGATATAAAAAATGCAATGGTAACTCCTTCCAATTCCTTGAATTAATAACATTTTGTTATGTTTAACTTCCACGTTAAAGTATAAATCAACCCATTTCTGTGGTTGATTTTAAAGTAAACAATGTCCATATTAACATACTTAGTAAATAAATGTACTTAGTAAAATAAGCTAAGTTTGAATCAAATTTAATACATTTTTTTAGTTAAATGGTTTTAATTAAATTAATGACATATTAAACGGAAACAGTGACGATCTATAGAAATGATTAACAACTCAAAATGAATACAATTTGATTATGAACTTAACAGTGTAGGCAATACACACACTTTTTCTTTTTCCGGAACAAAGTATTAAAGAAAACTATATTTAGTACGTGCTGTAGTCATCTTATCTTCTCACTTAAAAGTCAATAAATAATATGGCCTTCTTCTCTCGTTTGTGTTGAAATAATTAATAATTAATAGATTTTTTTCAAAAGCATGTGAAACTTCATTGACATCCGATCTCAAGGTTGCCACAAACCTGGAAAACCGGAAAAAGTCAGGGAAATTGAAATTAGTTATGGAAACCGGGAAAAGTCAAGGAAAAATGTAAAAAAGTCTGAAATTTCAGAATTTGCTCATAATTTCCTTAAACTGCTCTTATATATTCCAAATAATTGTTATAATTTTTTAAATATTATATCTGACGTTTATAGTTCAAAACTTGCGCACTTTAAACAATTTTAACAAAATAATTCAAATTTATATTTTATTCAGTATTTTTATTTAATCCTTCTTCGTCGTGCAACTGCATTCTTTTTTTCAAAACTAAATTATTTTTTGCTGGCTTGAATTTGCACCCAAAATTTTACCATGCTACTAAACTTTTTTTGCGTTTTTAATAATATAGCTTTCTTATGATCCTTGAGTCTAAATGTTAAAATTTACATATTTTATATTAGTCATGGAAAATTTTCCATTTTCATTTGGAAAATCTGGAAAAGTCAGGGAATTTTTAAATTCATTTTCTGTGACAATCCTGGATTTGACATTCTGCTATAAGTTTATCTTGTAGCCGATACCGGCGTTACAATATACCGGCATATCCGACATTGTCGAGGCAATGGTGTAACAAATTCTTGTTTGCAACAGTACTTCCTGTCGCCAGTTACTAATTTTGACCCCGTTACAAGTGCGCGTCATGAAATATTGCATAATGCGGAGACAACTTTTAAATTGTTATTGCGCGCTCCACTTTCTAATGTACATATGATATACCTTGCGAAACATCGATACTCTTTGCACGATCAGAATTTCGCTTTATTCTTCCATCGGCTCTCCCCCCAAAATCTTTACCTTCTTTTTAAATGCTTTCACGCACGAATTTACCGCGGCTTCTTTTGCTAAGTCCATAAACGTAATAGGCAGGTATACACTGAGAGAAATATTTATAGAGACTAACATACACCGAGAGAAATATACATATAACAATTTATTTTGTTGATATGTTTACTTAATTTTTCATTAAAAAATTATATTGTTCTAATTGAAATTTGGTTATTACAATAACACAATTTTTTAATGAAAAAGTAAGAAAGTTTTTGATGTATCAACAAAATAAATAGTTGTACGTACCAAAACATTTCTCTCAGTGTAGATTGTGCATTCCCTGATCTTAATATCTCCATAAAAAAAAATAAACATATGGATCAGCATCTTTCTTCAATTCTATTAGCACCTCTCTTTAACTCGATAATTTAGAAAGAGAGAGAAAAAGGAAGAAAGGGAGATAGCGATATGGTTCAAGATTCAAACCTATCTCACTCTTTCTACACCGGTAGTCATAACTTCAGTTTAGGATCATTTGCAGTCTATTTTTATTATATCTACATTTTCGTCTGTGATTGTCTCTTGTGTGTTTTTTAACGTTTAATATTTTATTTATATTCTCTCTGTTCCCAGATTCCAGGGTGAATGATTGGGCAATGATGAGCAGCCCTTTCCCGACCTTGGCGATATGTCTGTCGTACGCTTACTTTAGCAAGGTTCTGGGACCGAAACTGATGGAAAACAGAAAGCCTTTTGATCTTCGGGGAGTCCTCATTATGTATAATTTCCTACAGACTCTCTTCTCCATGTGGATATTTTACGAGGTTCGTTTTTCTTACATATTTTTGTAACGCCGAATTTACTGTCGCTTGACGGTATTAATACACATTTACCATAACTACATATGACAGCGAAATTCCTAAATAAAAATCTCCACTCACACATATACGTATTCTATTAATTATTAACAAGATCAAAATCAAATACCATAGGATCTATGGCATAGGTGATATATAGATAAGAATCTTTTGATTATTCTTATCTATGGGTGTATTCTGAGTTACACATAAAGTGCATCATTTGTTCTTGTTGCTTACCAATTAATAAAGAAGGATAAAACGTTACATCATGCGCTTCATGCGTAACTCGGAACGTACCCTATATATGTCATCTACGCCATAGATTCCTGATAGACAAAATTATTTAAATAAAATTGAAGATAGAAATTAGATATATCCCAAATTTGTTCACACGTCCAAGTATAATTCATTTTATATCCATTAGCAAACATTGGCGGAGTAATAGTTTTCGTCAAAATTCACGATCCACAATCGTTGTTTGCGGAGGTCGACAAGATTATTTCTATAAATTCGTAATCACGGCGATTTGACCGCGATTGTCTTCCTGCACGGCGATCGACGGGGGAATTGCCTTCAATTATTTCTCCGCCTTTTGTTTCGACATGGTCAATAACTACTGTTGATTCCAACAGGCAACAGTATGCGGTTTCGTGGAATAATTTCGAGAGAAATCGCGGCCTTCCGAGAATTCAAATAATCCTACCGCAAAAGAAACACTTTGCTGAGTCCATTTATGATAATTACTGAAAGGACTTTGAGATGAAATTCTGAAATAAATTACTTTTCCGAAGCATCAAATAAATACTTTTTTACTTTTTTCTACCTCTTAATTTGTTTATGTTTACGAATAAATATCTAAATTATAGCTATATATATCATGGAAACATTCTAGTAATAAACGTCTAGGTATAACCGGACAGTGACGTTTCATAAACACGTATGTAAATTGTGATTTAAATTTTTAATTATTGTTTTTATGAACGTAACATTGGAATAATAAGCTAAAGTACTTAGAAATATGGCCGATTTGTGGTTAATATTGATTATTATCTGTGAACGCAAAAGGAATAAATAATTCAAATATAAACAGTACAAATTATGTACATATTGATTATGCATATTTATCAGTATTACAATTTAATCGAGACGTATTAGGTGTTGAACTTAATTCCTGCCGTTTTTCGTCTCCAAAATTGATTTGTTTCGAAGGGAAATACCTTAATCAAAGTATTATTAATAAAGTATTATTAATTAGTAATAAAGTAGAAAATGGAGGAAATTATTTTGATTAAGGTATTCATTCATCTTCCCTTCGAAACAAATTAATTTTGGAGACGAAAAACGGCAGGAATTAAGTTCAACTAATATTTCTTACAATGAATTAATATCTATATATAGGTTTCTATCATGTCCTGTTTCGAGCTTTTAAAAGTGCTTAATTACTATGTCTAGAACACGAATAATTTAAGATAATGTTGTAAATACGAGAACAATGATTTTTTATATGATTTAAAAAATTTACTTTGTTTGAATAATTAAAAGTTCATGTCAGAGAGTGGAGAAATTATATTTTTACGATGTATTTATTACACTATTTATTATATCATTCATATTTATTTTTAATTTTTTATTCTGCAGCGTATTTATTTTATTATGTATATGTACGTAGTATGTAATATGTATGTATGTAAGTATCTTTTGGACTTAACCGATTTGTGTACATTTAAAGAGATACTAATAATCCTATCTGGATCCGCGTAGTCAATATTGCGTACACATATCATAATACAGTTATACACGCATGCACGTTATCGATGCCACGCGAAAATAATCAAAATCTCATCACACTGGAAAAGAGATAGGCTACAATAATATTCAGTGTTTTTATTTTTTTTTTGTATCAAAGATATTAAAAAGAGATATGTTATGTACGAAGATTTAATGTTTTAGCTAAAAAATTAATTTGTAAATTATCCTTTGTTTCGAGAAACAATTTATAAACTTATATATAACGTTGGTAATCAATAAGTAATGCAAATAAAAATTTCAGATAAATAAAAAAAAGTATAGATGCTTAATACTTTCGGCCAAGGCTGTATGTTCACACACATGTTATATGCTAATTACGAAACAGCGCAAATGCGTAATTCACTCGCATCTACTTAAATTAAAAAAAAAAAGAAATCTAAAGTGGATTCTATAATATTATTTTCATGAGAATTATTTACATTATAATATATTTATAAAATGTATATTTTCTCGTGGTTTTTTTAAGTAAATATATTTTTTTTTAATCAGACAATAAAATCTCTCTCTCTCTCTCTCTCTCTCTGGACAAGATATTTTTATATTTTATATTCTTTATTTTCTCGAAATAATGCGAAAAAAGCATTCTTACTTTTTTCTTTGCCAATTTTGTATAATTCCTTACTTTATGTAAATTGATATAATTTATTAATTTATTTTATATCTTAAATTTTTCATCAAATTTAATGTTTTATATAACTTACAAACTGCCTTTAAATTCTCTCACAATTTTCTAATTAAATTTATCGTAAAATTTTTCCTAATATTTAAATTTTTGTAAATTTTCATTACGAGGTCTTTCTAGAATTAATTTAAATTCCAATCAAGTGCCCGCGAATTCGAATTATGACATTTATGATTATGGCATAATTTAGAATGTGAATCAGCACTTTGTAAACGATGTTAAAAATGATAATAAACGAAGTTCCTTCTTGCATTTAAAATTGATTGTTCCAAACAAAAGATGAAATGTCAAGTATATTTATCATTCAAGCGAAAGTTATCGTTAAATCAACTTCCTCGATCGTCTTGATACGTTTCGATTATGCTAATAGATTCCTTAATTTATTCGTAGATTTATCGAAATGACATAGTTTTTTTTTTAGATCTGATATATAGAACTTCATTGAATTTAAATGAAATACTTGGACACATATTTCATGATATTAATTCACTTAATTAAAGTGTTTTATATACGATTAACTAAAACAATTACTTTATTTAGGCGTATTATAATTGTATTAACCTCTATTTAACATTGAAATTTTCCTTGAGATATTTTGTATGTATAAGTAATTTTGTCAATAACAATAAAGCATTCAGGAATTTGAAGGACGTTAAAATGTTAAATTTGCATGCACATTTTTATTAGCTGTACGGAAAGAATATTATGATATAATATATATATAACTTTCTATATCAATGAGTTTTATCAATGAACTATATAATAAATTAATATTTGCATCGCTCAAACGTTAATATTGCGTTTCTTGTCGTGTTTAGTATATATTTGACAGTGCAAAATTAATGGCTATCATTAATCTTTAAATGGTATTTTTTACAATATTTTTTAATATAGCAATATACAACGATTAATGAACAACAAGGTGACAGTTGAATCGATAAAAAAATTTATAGCTTCGCGAAGATCACTATTTAATGCCGATTGTAATCATGTGCATAAGCATAACTTGGTTATAACATAGTAGTCATTATACATGTGTTATACTGTGAGAGAATATACTGCGAAACTATGAATTACAAACAAATTGCACTTCACTCTATTAATAAATTATGGAAAAAGAAATCAATAAAAAGATAATTAATTAATGATCTTTTCAATCTTTGTAACTTTTTTCTTTTCTAAATAACATATGTATATAGTACAAAAAAGTTAACAAATTATTACAAGCTAATGAAATTTATGGTGTGTATATATATATATATATATATATATAATAATAAATGTCAATTAAAATTTAGTTAAAAGGAAAACGTCACTATTTATTTATGTAATCAATATTTATTTATATAAATATATCTTTTAAAATCATTATGTGATTTTATTTATTGCGTGTTTAATTTGTCACTTATGCAGTATATTTCTATTACACACTGTTGTTAATGTACATATATTAAATGTAATTTTATTGCTTATACATTTATTATCAATTTTGAATTGCTGACAATAAAAAAAGTACGTAAGTGGAACATAAAAAAATACTAGCAGTAAAGGAATCTTAACATTCGTGTGCAATCTTTTTGTTTTTTTTTTTCCGAGTGTGTTCTGTATATATTAGGTCTGTTTTCTGTGGCTGAACTAGTGTACACTTTTGGAACTTAAAGTGAGATAAATATACTTTTGATATTTGTTTAAAGAGAGTGCGAGAAAGAGAGTTCTAGAACAGTCTAGTGCAGGAACAGAAACAGACCATATGATTATTTAATTTATTCAATCTTTTACATTTAAATCACGATTAAAAAAGGATTATTATCCTCTAATTACGTAATTCAAAAAGACTAAAGATAGTTATAAATGAGAATAGGGCGTGTAAAACTAATTTACTCTGCAAACATAATGATCGTCTTTTCGACGCGCAACAGATTATAACGGTATTGCAACTCCTGAGTATAATTGAAGCCATTTAGCAAATTAATTCCACGCTTTTACAACGATCTCGTGTACGCCTAACGTCTTTCAACCACACGAATTTATTCTTAAATTCTATAAAATTGTGCTAAATAAACTGCTAATTAAAAAAATTATATTCATCTAGCGGAAATGTATACATGCTCGTTCGTGTTTCTGTCTTTTTTATGTTTTTAAACACGATTTTAAGAAATGTTGAAATATACACAATTTGGATGACAAACAATCGCCTAAAAAACTTTTCCAGTTCACTTGATTAAAAAATTTCGCAATTTTAATATTCGTACAAAAATTTTAATATTACATAAATTTGTAAATATTGTTTATGTCATATTTAAATTTCGTCCTATTTTAGAAAAACGAAACGTGATTTTTTTATATTACGTAAAAATTAAAAGTTTAAAAATAAACATTGTTATGCCTTTTTATTAGTTTCTTTGTTGCATAATTTGTTAGCAAAGTGAAATATGATTTTAATTGCAGTTCTAAGTGTGATTATAATTGATTTGAGTTCTCCAGGATATCCTCTTGCATAACACACATCTAATGATTATGTTAAGAACTTGCATGAAAGATGGTTATCATTATAACCTTAATAAAATGTATATAAACATTGTAATAAAATGATTTGAACATTATTGTTTCAGTATCTTATGAGCGGTTGGGCGAAAGGTTATAGTATCCATTGCCAACCGGTGGATTATTCGTCCAGCCCAATGGGCCTCAGAATGGCAAGAACCTGCTGGTGGTACTATTTTAGCAAATTTACTGAGTTCTTTGATACGGTGAGTATCGATTTTCACTTGACTTGTCGAGTAGGGTAGACTAGAACAGATGTTAAAATACGAAAGTTCCGTTCGATAAATTCATTTATAACTTCAACATAAATTTCGACAAGTATCTTCGAGTTTGAAATCCTTGTCTTTAAGAATCTTTGAATAATTTATGAAACAAATAGTTGGGTCTTTTTTATATCTATTGTTTTATTTCTTTAAAGATATATTGGAACTTCCTAATTTGCCGTTCGTTATATTTCTTTTTTCTATTTCATTATTACAGAGAATAATCCAATCCCGTTATTCATAAATATTTTATATCTATAAATATTTTATAAAAATATAGAACTCTTTAAACTCGAATCAGAATAGCATTTATCATATTTTTTAAAAATTAACAAAATAATTTGTTGGGGAAATATTTTAAGCAAATTACTGAAATACCGAGAAAGATGAAGAAAATAACCGAAAATTTGCATATTTTTTAGCTGTTCTTTATTCTAAGGAAAAAGAATCAACATGTTTCAACACTTCATGTAATTCATCACGGAGTAATGCCCTTTTCTGTATGGATGGGCGTGAAATTTGCACCGGGCGGCCACAGCACGTTTTTTGCTCTTCTAAACACCTTCGTACACATCGTGATGTATTTCTATTACATGGTAGCCGCGATGGGACCGCAATTCCAGAAGTACATCTGGTGGAAGAAGTACCTCACTACTATGCAAATGGTAAGCTCAACGTTATCTCGCGCTATTACGAATTTAGAAGTGACAATTGTCTATTATACCATTTTATATCGTACTCTTTGCAAGTAGCGTTCTATTCGTTATATTTCGCATTATATATATTTTGTCGACAATTGATCATTTTGTAATACTATTATTTACTATTTTAAAAATATATTCCACCTTTAAAAGATGACATTGTAATACTTATTTTATACTTTTTGAACGCAATAATAGGTATGAGGGACCGAAAAAAGTGATTTTAGGTATAAATTCATATTTGTAAAAGATGTGTAGGTAACTCTTAATCATAAAAACGACCGTTTCTCTCTCATGTCCAGTTAAATTAATTAAATAAATGGAATAGACAAAGCGGATTATAAGATGAATCACTGACCGAGTTCTCAATTTGAAATCTCATTCTATAATCCTACCCATCTGTCGGTATTGTTACTGGTTTCTCTAGCCTTTAAAATACTTCGATATATTTCGAACCATAGCGTTTCTTCGCACATTTTGTATGCCATAGAGTTTTTTATTATCGCTTTTATTATTACTTATCTGACAATTTATCCTTTTGATTTTAGATACAATTCGTGATGATCATGCTCCATCAATTCCAATTGTTCTTCATCGAGTGCAACTATCCGCGAGGTTTCATGATTTGGATCGGCTTGCACGGTATCCTATTCTTCGGGTTGTTCTCGGATTTCTACAAGACGAAATATACGTACGACTCAAGGAAAAACTCCGTGAAGAAGATACAAAACGGTATTTCCGGTGGAGCTTGCATGCCGGTTTTGGACGATAACGATAGCGCGACGCACAACGGTGTGTCCTCGTACACTACAATCTATAACAAGGAGTACAACAGCTGTTACAGCAACGGCACAAACAACGGTTACGTTGCCAATAATAACGTCACGGAGAAAAAACTCGCTTAGGACACGTGAGAAGCTCGAACATTTTTTTTATGTGCCGGTCAGCTGCTCGTCTTATTATACCTACAATTACCATTCTATAAAAGATCAAGATTTGCAACATGTCCATAAACTTAGGCATGAAAATAAAAAGCCAAATTACACGCACGTGGTATGGAAGACAACGAGACAAGATCTCAGACGGAAGAACTGGCACGTATTATAAAGCGAGACATCTCGTTATTCTGCGTTGTTAGCAGAGCAGTAGTTGTGTTCACTAACATAGTATCATCGACGACAGGGCTGTTACGATGTTCGACGTTAAAACTAATAGGAAGAGAAAGAAGAAAAAATAAATGCGATACAACTAATCGCCGAGGGAAAAAATTATTGTGAATCTTCATTTTCAGGTCTTTGTGAGATATGGCATGGTCTTTAAATTAATGATTCGTGACATCTGCCATACGAAAATAGAACGTTAATAATATTATCGGAAATCGTTAATAGTACAGATAAGAATATTAGAAGGAAAAAACTAAAGGACTACTTTTGCGATTTCCGTGTTTGGTGTTGTACGGAAACTACTGCGGTTTATAAAATCTTTAAATTACGACTAGTTTGACAAAGCTAATCAGAAATGAGATCACATTTGACGAAATGTGAAAATAAGCTGTAAGCTGGGTAACGTTAATGCGCACACAACATGATGAAGAATATAGAGTATTCATCGTTGATAACTATACTGGAAAGAGCGACATTCACTGTGCGTACAATTTTTTTGGTACTGGTTGTGTACGTATTGAATACGAGTGTGGATGTTTCTTAGTCGTATGTAATTTTTCAAGGCATCTCTTGTTGAGACACATTGCTGAAACTAAACTCCCCTCCCCCCTCCTTCTTACCATCATTATCGACTCTGCCGGTTCGGTTGTTTCATCTTCGGATAAACTATGTGGTAACTTAAGGAATAAAAGAGAACGAAAGAACGACTATAAGATGAGATTTATCAAAAGATTGAACAACCTAATCTCTGTCTCTTTCTAGCCCCGACTGTGTTCAAAACTTCGGTGTTCTTACAAATTAACGTACAAATCAATTCGCCCAAAATATCGTACAACAAAGTTGGCTATATAATTATATTGGCAATATAAGTTAATGATTCGTAAAAATATGATCAATAAGTTTGAAAATGCCTTGGATTTCTTTTTCCAAATAACTGTTGAGTTTTCCTCGAGATAATTATGTCATCTTATTATTATTTAATCAGTTTTCAAACATTACGATTTATGATCTTAAATTTGCCTTATATTTGTGCCCTTTTTTATTTTAATTTATAAAATTAATTTAAAAATTTAATAAACTTTTTATTTTAAGTCCCCAAATTTACTTTACTTATAATATAATATATATTTTACTTATATTGTCCCCTATATTGCCGAAAATAACTTATCAATTATAATTTATTTATTTTGTTGACAATTTCTATTTTTTATCGCTTATATTAATTAATTTTTACTTTCTATCGTTTGTCCTTTCATAACTTTATGGAAACTTTACGAATTATTAGTAATATGTGCCAATCTCATCGGCTATACCATGACTTTTTACATATATAATTCACCACGTGGCTTGATTCTACTACTAATGGTATGATGATGTCTATAGTAAGCTGCCGAAAAGAGTGTTTGTTTGTCGCTTTGATTGCTTTGTTTTCAAATACGAATGGCAATGTAAGCTGTACTGCGGCTTGTTATTGTCGTACATGACGCAACTCGCTTTAATCGATCAGAAAAGGCATATGACGTTCATATCGTGAAAATCACACTTTAGTGTCGTAGAATCAAGCTTCGAGAAAGAGAGCAAGTACTTTTATGAGTAATGGACCTCTCTTACACGTGATCCGTAAGTTTGATCACGCGGTTGAAGAGTCGAACGAGTGCGAATGTGTCTCAAGATAGGTATACACACACGCGAATAATATTATATTTGAGGGGAAGGGCAAATGTTTAGAGATCGTAATAGTCGCACTATAAAATTAATATATTTGTACACACTTCCTATTTTTATGAATATATTATTTATGGTGATCCATAATAAAATCTCTGATGATAAAATGTTTCTCTCGACTGTAATAAATTCAACCTCGGCTATTTTTACAGACAGATAAGCTAGCTCTGACGAACGAGAGTAAGAGAATTATAATCTTAACATCGTGTTCGTCATAATGAGCTTCCTCATGAAAGTACATACATTTGATGACGATTGTTCGCAAAACAATCGGAAACAAATATAATCACTGAAAATCGTTCATATTTTTTTTTATTTATGCTACGAGTTTGTAAAACGTTCCAATCCTGCTTTATCCAAAAATGCAACGACTTTTGATTATATTCAGAAGTGCATATAAGATGTAACTTAGATAAGTCCAGATTTGAATTATAAACATGTTAGACGACGAGACTATGTATATTTCCTTAGATTATTATATATAGAATTAATTTATCTCTACACATAAACGCGATCCCTGTGTTTCCGAATTACAGTGCACTTCGGAATTGACGTTTCAATCGTCGATTTTTCATCTTCAATTTAATCATTCATTATTCATTTATCGAAGCTTCGCTTTGTCGTTCCGATTAAGCATAAGTGTAATAGAGGACATTCTCGTGTCTCCATTATAACGAAATATGAATGACAACGCATACGCATAATCTGAAGAACTGCCGTAATTGAATAAGAGCGTGCACGAAATTTCATAAGACATGAATTAAAAGCGGAAACTTAAACTAAGAGAAGTATTTAGTGAATTCTCTCAAGTGTTTCAAGAGCTTTATGCAATTTTTTTTATCTTACGTACAATATAATGCGATAAAAAGTAAAGTTATTTCCTAACTAGTTAAACTTCTAGATGGTAGTTGGACGTACTGTGTTACGTTATCTTATGGTTAATCTTGTTTAAGTTGTGATATTGCGGTATTGTGGTATAACAGTACTAATTAATACGTTTAGGAAGAAAGAAAATTTGACAAGATAGACGATGAAGTGTAAATTATAACTTTTTTATGGGTACCTTCGTAGATAATTTTTAGTTTTTAGCGAGAATAATAAATCTCACTATGACTCTGAAATCTATGTCAGTGAAGTATCATATTGCTTAACAAAACGCAGAATAGTCGAAAGATTGTACAAAAAGTTTGATTTGCATCTCTTCGAACAACTGATAAACAGATTATAAAAACTTTTAAGAAGATCAAGAAAATCTTTCGATTTTTTTTCCTAACAGATGCAATACTTTTCCTAGAATATTGTTGCTACTACACATTTTGTACTTTGACTGTACTTTATTAACTTAAGCAAGTCACTTTTTCTCACGCATTGATCACAATATTTTTCTAATGAGAAACCAGATTAAGCTACAGCTAACTGCAATTTCGCGATGTAGCTTCAACCTTTCATAAATCTAATTATTTATCAAGACGAATTATTATTATTTACGACGGAGTAATCACTAAGTCTCATTCTTCTTATATTTCCAGCAATGTTTATACGAAACAATTACGGAAGTTTGTATGAAATAAGACAACCGTATATACGTCGTCTTTTATTTTTTTTAAAATTTAAACTATTTTATTCTTGAAACATTAAAACATAATGTTTGCATGTTTGTTTTTCTAAAATAATTGTTTGGTTATCGAAATGTAAAATGCAAAGATCTTCATAGAATTTTAGGGCATAATGCTGAATAATAAAGTGCGGTACCTTACATGTACATAGAAACAAGCGATCTGCGCGTATGATATGCTACCACGTTTCACATTCATGTTTTTAGGCGCATTCAAAAGATCTACTAGATCTACCAAAAGTGAGAAACTACGACAATGAAAGAGCGTATCGCATCATGTACCTAAACGTTACGAGCTCTGTAATGATTCTCATTATATTTTTGTACATAATTGGGGAAAATTACGAGAGAACAATAAAACGATTGAAATGAAAGAAACTCGGCGTACTCGAATACTGCAAGGAAGTTAATGACAGGCACACAATGCGAAATTTGCCCAATCTAAAAGTAAATTTGTTATATAAAGTTTCTTTGAAAAAGGACGTTTTTTTGAAAAAGATACACTAATACCAGTCATAATTATTCGACTAACAGATATTTTATATTTTACTCCGATTTTAGAAGCTAAGTAAGTGTTCCATACTGTTGGTAACACAAATGATATTTTATTAGAATAATTGACACTGTTTTTGTTGTATATTGATTACATAATTGTATTCTAAATTTAAATTATTCAGATAACGTTTACGAACTCTTATCAATTATACTTGAATCGATATTATATTGGCTCGTCAAAAGAAATTTTGAATTCAAAAAACAATTATTAATAATTGTTGTTTCCGAATCATTTTTTAAAAGTGATTTAGAACTTTTGAACTGTACTAATATAATATCGATTCAAGAATAATTTAAAGACAGTTCGATGTGAATGTTGTTTCAATAATTTAAATTTAAAATACAATTATATTCAACGTACAACACAACAGTGTCAATTATTCTGATAAAGAATTATATCTGTATTAACCATAATATGGAACACTTACTTAGCTTTAAACATCTGTCGTTTGAATAATTATTAGCGATAATGCATGTGCATTTACACACACACACACACACACACACACATATGTGTGTGAATATATATTTACAGCTCGACTTTGATTGGACCGCAACGCTTGTAACACGCTTGTGATGCTGTGATGCAACTAATGTAGAACCAGCTTTATGCACAACAAATGTTTTGAAGTATTCTAGCTTTGATTGGCCAATTCGTAAAATTTTTCTAATTGAGCAAATGTTTCAAAGCATTAGTAGTGAGATTTTGGCTGCACCCATAGTCGTAGGTCAGCGCATATAGTTACGCCAAAATATTTCTTCCCTTCATTTCTTATTATGAGATACCGCCTCATATAAAGAAACCCTTGTGTCTCATACCAGGAACCCTTTTTTTCAATTAGCAAAAATCGACAATTTTGATAAAAACTTTCACATACTGCAAGTAAGTGTAGCTATTATCGATTGCAAACTTTTGGCGATAAGATTTGAACATATTTCCCTTGAATATATTTCATAAATTTAACCCTTCGTTGACATACTGGGTGTGAACCACCCATAAAATTATTTTAACTCTCTGAAACTAAATTTTCTTTTATTTTGTAGAACAAAAATACAATGTTTATAAAAAAATCTGTTTTTTCGATTCCCAAAATAGCCTACATTCAATATGCAAAATAAATATTCTTTATCCAAAACCAACTTATAAACTAATTTTTTTTTTTTCAAAGTATCATATCTGAACAACAATTCTATAAATTTTTAACTTTTTAATATTTAACTTTTTTAATATTGAATTTTTTAAAAGTTACAATTTTTCAAAGATTTTACTCATTTTTTCTCTATTGAACTCAAGAATTTTTTTCACAAAAACTGTAATGAAATTTTAATCAGAAACTATTTGAATGTATTCTACAGACTTTGAAATTAACCCATAATTTTTTTCATATTGATTGGATTTTTTAAGAATGTCAGTTTAAACATTACTTTGGGCGTGAGCCACCCAGTGAAAAAGCAATCGAAAAAAGAGGTGTCAAGGAAGGGTTAACAAAAAATAAGAGTTAAGAAAATTAAATAAATTACAAACCTTTAAAAAAAAGGTATTTCATAATATTTAGGCATCCCTTTACCTTATATCCGAAAAAACGCAGCCATATTGCTTTGTCGATCACTCAAACTTCAATTGTCACGAAATGTGAATTTAGAGCGGATTATCAACGAGTAAACATTGAATTTATATAGCACGATTAACGATTTCATTAAGATATGGCTCAATTACACCTGTACTAATTAAACGCGTCGCAACACCACTCAGCTCTCAATTGAGTAATTCCACTACTTTCCGTATCCCCGAGATTCCACGAAAAATACAATAATTATACAAACGCGCTAAATTTAAATGATTCTGATTAATCGATCTCCGCTACATTACTTTTGCGCGTGATTCCGAAATTTTCGGCTGTCATGAGGATACACCCTAAAGTCTGTGTCACATTACACATTGGAAATTGAGGACTACAAATTAAAGATCAAATTTTAACCAATCAGAACGAAATGGATTAAAATTAAAATCGTTTTTTGTTTTTATATAATAAAATAGAATAATCGTAAATTAAATGCATGATCCCAGTATAATAGTATAACGCTGTTACAATTTAATAATTTTTTTATTCCAGGCTACCAAAACGAACGGAATAATGTCAAAACGACATTTTTAATAAATTTTGCATATCTTTTTCTCCTATGTAAATAAAAAGTCTTATGAAAGTTTTATATTAATATACTAACCTTTCTCTTTTTAAAAAATTCATATATCTTTTAGTCTTCCAAATGAAAATTCCTTCTAAAGCGTCGTCTTTTTCTTCTTATTCTTCTTCTTAAAGACCCCTGTCTGGATTTCCAAACAGTTTAAAAATTGATACGCTCGAATGAAGTATGTGTTTCGAAGAGACCGGCGGATTACGAGAGTGGCGATCGAAGCGCGGCGACTTCCGGTCGGCAGTGCTCCGCGGCCACGGGACGCCGCAGCAACGATTCGCGCATGCGCAGTAATAGTGTAGTAGGCTGATACATTCCGGAAATATGGCGCCCGAATGAAGGACGCTGAGTGTGAGTGTCTGCCAGATCTGTCGTGTTTCGCACATATTCGCACAGCCGGTCCGACGAGGTCGGCTCGCCCGTACGCAGAATGAGTAATATGTCGCCGTTTGGTGGCGGCAAGAACCCACCTTGGGTCCGCAATGCAGGTGAGCGATTTTTTGACGCGTGTTTTCCCCACTATATGAGACGAACATGAACGAGGTCTCCGTGTATCACCATCGTCGTCGTCCCGTGTGCAACGTAACGGAAAGCTGCCAAAATCCTTTATCGTTTGGCTCTGCCTCGCGGTCGAGCGTACACTCGACCGCGCGAGGTCGCGAGCTTGTTACGCAAGTCCGATCCGCGCTCTCGGTTGCGTTATGTTCCATTCTGGAGCACGAGAGTTGCCCTCGACCACCCGATGACCTCCAAACTGCTCACTGCCAGTGAAACAATGTTCCAGAAAAATAGTTCACAGTAAACACCAACTAACAATAACATAACATCGCGTTAGAATTTCACATCCGACAATAAAAATAAGAAATAAATGTAATGTGACACATGTTGTACGTAACAGTTACATTACTGAATGTGAAATGATAATTGTTGATGTTACTGTTAGTTAGCGTTTAGTTGTCTTCTTCTCTTTCTGTTATCCTTTCTCTTTGCTGTTGATTACTTCTCATGAAAAACTTTAGGTCTGTTTTCTATAATTAAGCTAGTTTATACTTTTGGAACTTAAAGTTATCTATAGGTATATTTATTTGATATTCGATAAAAGTAAGAAGGAAAATTCTACTGCAGGAATAAAAAAAGAACACTTTTATCCTTGAGTAAAATTAATGACATCCGGAGCAACTTGTAGGTCACAAAAGCTTGCAGTAACATTAAATTTGCATTGCTTGAAATTCCCAAAAATTTATTTACTCTTAAAACAAGAATAAATATAATAAAAATAAATTAAATTTTTAATTTAAGTTAAGATAAATATATATTCCTGCGTTGAAGAAAGAAAAAGCAAACATTCTGTATCCGAAAAGTGCAAACAACATGAACGGACCTATTGCTGTAACATTTGCAATGTTACTGTAATATTGCTGAAACGATCTATGTTATATAAGAACACATTGTTACTAAAATAAAACAATTTTCTGAAATGCCATCTTTTCCTTTGCATATTTATTATGTGGTAGAGAATATATATGTAAAAGATACGAAAATATATGAATTTAAACTGTGACATGTAAACTGTGATAAAAAATTTGAATTATATAATTATTTTTGATGTTTTCTTGAAAGGACAAAATATACAAAATATCCAACAACAAATGTTGGGCCAAGCCATGGGCAGTATCGGAGCTCAGCCTATGGTGCAGTATCAACAGCAAACCCAACAAGTCTACCAACAGAGTCTAGGATTGCAGCAAGTAAGATATGGATTAACATTTTTATGTATTCAGTATCAGATTAATTATTTAAATGATTCTACATAGCCCAACATTACCATGGCATCCATGGCAACTCTCGGCTCAAATTTACCATCGGGTATAGCAGGACAACTATATCCTCAAGTCGCTACAGTTTCTTACCCAACCCCACGGGCATTAAACACAAACGCTTTTCAACCCTCTGTAGCCGGTGTTCCACAACAGGTACAACAGAACGTACCTTCGTCATCGACAAAACAGAGAGTTTTCACGGGTACTGTTACTAAAGTACACGATAACTTTGGCTTTGTAGATGAAGATGTATTTTTTCAAACTAGGTAAGTAAACTAGGTTAAAAAAATACATTTTTCTTAAGCCTGAAACAATAAAAACCACAGGCACACAGTAGTCTAGTGGGCGTCAACTAAAAATAACATAACATCAATGTTATAATTTCGCATTCAACAATATATTTGTTATGTAACATTATATATTGCAAAATTAAGAAATATATATCAGCTCCTCTTTTGCAAAGCAAATTTAAAAAAGAAAGCTTTTTACTGCAGAAATGTTTTTAGATGTGATTTTCTGTAAAAATTGGGCAAACGTATAAACATGTGTTGATGGATGAAATAATGATTCTGAGAGGGCATTTTCTTTGCATATTTTACTGAGTCTCTTTTTCTCTCTCTATTTCAGTGCGTGCGTAAAGGGATCTAATCCCGTTGTAGGAGATCGTGTGCTTGTAGAAGCGTCGTACAATCCTTCAATGCCGTTTAAATGGAATGCCACTAGAATACAAGTGCTGCCCATGGGTAATAATAGCAACAGTGCAAACACTCAGCAAACTAATCAGCCAAACCGTCAGCAACAGCAGCAACAGCAACAGCCAAATAGGACATCAGGCACTTACAATGCTGTACCTCCTCCCACAGAAAATCCTAATAACAGGTGGAAAAATATGTACATAATTGTTGAATAATTAACTATATTATTATCTATAATATATACTATTACCTTATATTATTATGTTATCCACATTTCTGCAATATAAAGTAGTGCTGTTTGATTTTAAATATCAAATATTTGAATAAATTTTTATACTAATATCTTTAATATTAATATGTTTAGCAGAAAAAAGCAACTTTGCAACTATTATAAAATACTTTAATGTGATTGGTTATTAAAATCCATTGAAGAATTAAGTACAAGAATCAATAATATTAAAAGATCTTATAACACAACTGTTTTTTCTACTGAACGCAGTTATCAAATGATTCAAATTTGACAATTATTTATATTATTTATAATATTAAAAATTTAGAAATATTTAAGACAGTATTTAAGTACTCAATGTTTAAATTCAAGTTTCAATAAATATTCCGAATATTTTGTCAATGTAAAAAAATTATATTGTAGTAGGTTTACATCAAGTACAACAAATTCCAATTCTACCAGCAACCGTAACAAAGTCAGTAGAGTGCGAGAAAGATCTCCTCGTGAACGGAGAAATGACGACGAGGAAATAGAAAGAAAAAGGCGTCGCGAAGAGAGAATAAGAGAACGCGAGAAGAAGGAGGATCGAAGCCCGTCGAGGACTAGGAGAAGCAAATCGCCAAGACCACGCCGGCGTACGCGAGTCGTGCCGCGTTACATGGTGCAAATACCGAAAATTGCACTTGATTTGTAAGTGCAACTTATCTATTTTATGAACATGCACACCATTGGCGGAGTTTTATTGCTCCTTATTATCACAGGCCTGAAGCAGATGTTCTTGAAATAAGAAGACGCTATCAAAATATGTACATTCCTAGCGACTTCTTTTCCACTAACTTCAGATGGGTCGATGCCTTTCCACCGCATATGCCATTTACTCTTAATAAACCGTGCTCCTTCCATGTTATGCATAAAGACGTCGATCCGTGTAATGAAAATACAGCAGTACTTGAACCATCGGATGCTGATTATCTGTTTTCTGCGAAGGTCTGTCAAGAAGTTGTGTCACGATTATCATTATGTGATAAAATACAAGCGAGATTTTGTAGAAATGCACAGATATATGTAGCGCGATAGAAACCAGAATACGTGCATATCGAAATAATTTCATGTATTGAATATTTCTCGATTATTTTTAGGTCATGCTCATATCCATGCCCGCCATGGAAGAGATATACAAAAGATGTTGTGGTGTTTCCGAAGACAGAGATCCCGATCGTGATTATGTTCATCCTACACGCCTTATAAATTTCTTAGTAGGCTTACGAGGCAAAAACGAGACAATGGCCATAGGTGGCCCATGGAGTCCTTCGTTAGACGGTCCTAATCCTGAAAAGGATCCGTCTGTGTTAATTAGGACGGCTGTGAGGACCTGTAAAGCACTTACCGGCATAGATTTGTCCAGTTGCACTCAGTGGTATGTCTTATCACGTAGAAATACTTTTCGTTGTACATCTCTGAAGCACTTCCATAGACTGCTTTTTTTTAAAGCCCCGATTCGTTCAAAGAGCAATGTGATATCACCAAATTTTTCTGCCCGTTAATATTGCACTATTTCCGTCGATACTACTTTACAAACCAAAAAGGTCACAATTACGGAACACTTCATTAAAAAAAAAATTCCATTCTTTTTTCCTAATTGTCTAGGACTACATTCTAGAGCTATCTCTCACGACATAAAAACGAGTTATTAAAAAAAAAGTCAAGATAGAACACTATGACGTTAAGATATATATCTGACAGGTGTACTATCTACGATTTCGACAGACAGTAACTTCTAATATCAGTTCTCTGACTTGATAAACTAAGATTGTAGCTCGATCTCTCTGCAGTGAAGGTACGTATTTATTCTAAACATGAGCGACTGATGGAGATTGCTGCACTGGATCCCGGTTTCGAGCACACCCTCCCCCCGTCGACGACGATACACGAGCAGTCGCGGCAGACAAATCATCACTATTGTTCTATTATTATATGATTGTGACCCACTGAGTTGTGCTTTCTCTCTCAAATGGTCTCTACGTTGTGCGCTGTACGTGGCTTTGTATGCAGTGCGTGGGCTTTACGAACAAGCGAGCGAACACTTAGCATATAAGGCAACGCTAAGCGGCATTAATCTGAGTTGACGTTTGGGTATTGTTTTTCCTTGCGGCACAGGTACCGCTTCCTGGAACTCTACTACAGACGCGCAGAAACGACCCACAAGTCCGGGCGAGTGGTACCCTCTCGCGTTGAAACCGTCATACTATTTCTCCCAGATGTTTGGAGCTGTGTACCTACCAGATTGGAATGGGACGGGCTGCAACTCAACTATAAGAAACAACTGGAGCGAAAGTTGCTGCGTGCTGCCTCTAATCCCGACGATTTGGACGCTGCCAATGAAACTGATGAGGCTGCCGCCGCTGATCAAAAGGCACTGCCAACATCATCCCATATTACTTTTATAACTTTTTATTACATTATTATATATTTATATATATATTCGTGCCACCGTTTCTCCCTATTACTAAACTGGATTTTCAATAGGCTATACTTGTCCATCGATCCTATCAGTAAGTTAATCTCGGATATTGTAATTTGTCTAATTTTTTTCATGTAACAGATCACACTCATTGGTTAAAAAAAAAATCATAATTTAGGTATATTGAGTTAACGTACGGGGTATGTTTCATCGATAAACAACAGTAAAATTATCTCAAAATGCAAGTTTACTTTGGATCAATAGTGAATGATTAAACTCTTCTTTTTCAATGAAATACATGTCTATGGATTTGACTTCTTCCATAAGATGAGATTTCTTATTTTATGGAACAAGTCATTTACGATATCGCAAAATTAAAGCATTATGTATATGTACAACTTTTAATAAGACAAAGTTTGTATATACATAATTATATTAAGATTGCTGTTTTATTATTATATGTGTAAATTAACAAGAGCTCTTAATGCAAGCGCTTTTAAATGTCGCAAGCAAGGATCGACGGGTAATGTATCGCTCCCTTAGCCAGTGGCAGTCACATTGCATTAACAAGAGAAGCAAGCAAGCCTAGCTCGGAGAAGAGCGCAGCTGAGCCATTCCCTTTCCTGAAACCTTCACCAACATTGAAAAATCATTCAAAAGTTTTCATTTAATCATCGTTTTATACTACAACATTATTGATATTATCCATAACCTACCGATCACACAGACACCAGAGCCAGGACACTATGAGATTCTAGCAGTTATTGAGTCATACTTGACGGTCATCGTGAATGAAGATATGTGTATATCGTTACAATGTGAGAGAGTGTTGAAAAAATAGAGAATGATGAGAAAGAATGAAGAGGGAGTGGTTTCGTTTCGTTATAGGGGCTGCTTCTGTTTTGTAGTTTTTTTCTCTGGGCTTTTTACTTCTCTTTGACTAATGTGTGCTTTCTTCTTCCAGGACGATTCGATGCCTGAGAAAAAGGATCCCACGCACTATTCCGAGCTAGATCCCAAATCGATGAATGTTAGTATTTAAATATGGAATCAAAATTTTTTTATTTCTCAAATTCAAATCCAATGTTTTAATCAATTATAGGTGAACGAATTACGTCAAGAACTGGCAGCTCGTAATTTAAGCTCGAAAGGCTTAAAGTCACAATTGTTAGCTAGACTTTTAAAGGCTGTAAAGTCCGAGCAAGCCAAAGAAGAAGGTCGGCAAGACGAGGCGGATGAAAACGAAGAAGACGTCCCGCCGTCAAAGGAAGAAGAAGATAAAAAATTCAGAGATAATAAAGATGTAAGCAAACACACTAATGTGAAACATATATGCACTTAAACAGTTTTATTAAACATACAAATATTGAATATAAAATGATTTCTTAGAAATATATATATATATATATATATATATATATATATTTCAGGTCTTTAATATCTATTTGCGTTATTTTTAGCATGATGAAGATAAGAGAAAACTTTATGAACGTGAACGTACTGTACTCGAAAAGAGGTATACCTTGCCCGATTCATCGCACATTATTGTTCATCCCTCTAGAATGGCCAAGAGTGGAAAATTTGACTGTACAGTTATGTCCTTGAGTGTGTTATTGGATTACAGACCAGAAGATACCAAGGTAATTTATACTTTGGAAATTATTTTCACTTATTTCAAAAAAAGATAATTTGTTACATGAATCTTTTGAATATGTAGGAACATTCTTTTGAAGTATCTCTCTTTGCGGAACTATTCAACGAAATGTTAATGCGGGATTTTGGTTTTCGCATATATCGTTCGTTATCTAGTCTCCCTGAAAAAACTAAGGAAAAGGACGAAGATAAGAAGAAAGATAAGAAAGATGATAAGAGAGATGATAAGAAAGACGACAAGAGGAAGGAAGATGAGAAGAAATCTAATAAGAAGGATGAAAAACGAGACGATAAGAAAAGAGAAGAAGCCAAGGATAAGAAGGATGACAAAGATGCAAAATGTAAAGTAGACGACAAAGACAGAGAAAAGGAGAAAAATGACGATGAAGAAGAAGATGAAGATGATGAATCAGATGTAAGAAAAAGAGACTTCATTTTTTACACTCTATAATTTCATATTAAAATATTTTCTTTCATTAACGAAAAATACACAATATTATTTTGCAAATGGATAGCGTTTATTATGCAACATATGATATAGCTAAGTACATTGTGTTAATATAAACGATGTTATTACTTATACAGGATGATGATTCTGTAAAAGACGGTAGGAGGGACAGGGATAAAGACGGAAAGAAAAGGAAAACAAAATTATATACACATGATCCTTACCTTTTACTCTCTTTTGTATATTTCGATCAGACGCATTGTGGATATATATTTGATAAGGATATTGAAGAACTTATTTATACTCTCGGATTGAATTTGTCAAGAGCTCAAGTACGGAAATTAGTACAAAAAGTCGTTACAAGAGATTCTCTGCATTATCGAAAATTAACAGACAAATCAAAAGAGGATGACTTAAAGGATGAGAAGAAAGACGATAGAGAAAGCGACAAAGGTGAATCAGCTAAAGGAGAGAACGAGGAGGATATATTGCGTTCGCTTGCTCTCGGTAATGCATTTCTTCTCTAGGAATATTTTCTTAATATGAAACATCACATACAACTTACGATTAAATTTAATCATTGCTATATGTTTGTAGGAAATAAAAAATTATTACCTGTATTTGTGGGTAGCGGACCGCCCTCAAAAAGAGCGCGAAGAGAAGATTGTATCTTAGAAAAAGCTAACGAAGAAACGATTCCGGAAGGTATCGTTATGTACAAAGGCTCTTTATTAGATGTAGAAAAACTTGTCAGTCAGTTGAAAAGATCTGAGAAAGCACGTTTAGATACCGAGGATCGTATGATGGAATTGCAGCACGAACTAACTGTAGTCAACGAGAAATCGATAAAACAAACTAATAGTATTAAAGGTCTTTCTGAAGACTTGAAAATGTACAAAGATAAATTACGGAGCTCAGATGAAAAGCTCAAGAAAACTTCTGTGAGTAAACTTTTTCTGTTACTTGTTTAATTTATAAACGTAATTAAACATAAAAACATCTTACATTTCTTACAGACGGATTGCCATACTTACTTGACTGCGATAAAGAATATGTACCATGTAGCGACCAAAGCGTTGCAGAGTGAGAGAAAAGTAGAGGTAGTAGAAATTCAAGATGAAAAAGTTAGTGGAGAGATAAACGGCTCCGAGATGGAAAGTAAATTTAAAACTGATACCAGGTGGGGAGATAACAAAGTCCAAGTGAAAAAGGAACCCATCGATGTAGACAAGGATAAAAAATCTGACAATAAAACTTCTGTCAAGAGAGAAATTGTCGAGGCGGATAAGGAGAAGAAATAATTACATTAGCTATTTATCATAATATAGACACATACGCACCAACACGAATAAAAAAAGTTAATCTTATTTCACAAATACGTGTGTGCATGCACGTATGCTGTTAGTGATTAAAAAAAAGAAAAATAAAACAGATGCAAGTATCAAGTGGTTTATCCAACACCAAAATTAAGTGATTGGGACTCGATTTTGTAACTTTTTTCACTCGAGTGATAATATATTGTGGCATCTTCAGTAATAAAAAAAAAAGAGAAGCACTTCAATCATGCATAACAATTCATAGGGCTGTCGTTAAAATATCTTACGCAATTTTTTGCATTATTCAAAATAAATAGATAAATTTTAAAAAGGGCTTATAAAGTACCATTGATCTGCCATTAAGTGCCAGATATTGATACACCGATATTTATCATTATAGATTCAAAAGTATGTCAACATTATAGTTATTTAACTCAAATAAAAAGATTTTTACTGGAAATAATAGTACACAAACATGAAAAAGATTGCGTTTTATTATTTTACTGCGTATCATTATTTCACTGCTTGTTCATCTTACGCAAACATAAAATCACTTCTAAAATAAAACTTATTTATAAGAGTATGTTTGGAACCTTTTTGTGTCTTTTAAACTTAAGTTATCATTAATATAATATTATAATATTAAAATACATTTTTGTTATCATTCATTATTTTTTAAACAATATATGTTTCTTAATGAAGACAGATTGATTATTTTAATTGCTCTAACATACATTATTTAACGCAATAAACATTTAATGCAATAAATGTAATACTAAAAAATGATAAAGTTACATCAATATTTGGTTTCAGAAATGTCTGTATTGCGTTTTTATTGAATTTTACGGAATTCTCTCTATCTCGTGCGCTGCTAGTCGATGTTCATAATATAATTAGCACAGCACAAAGTATTTGAAAAAAAAATTCTTTTCGAATGCGTTTATATGTGAAAAATTATCAGAATTGTTCAAAAGTAACAAAAAAAATAGTTTTTTTTATAATTTCTAGAATAATGAATCGTTTATTACTGTGTAGCAATAAAAATAATTTCTTTTCGTTCTAGATGAGAAAATGTGTATAGTTTCGAAACAATTCAAATCGATGAGCGTTTCTTTTCATAGCCTAAGCTAGTTTAAATACGATAAATTCATATATAAATTCGTATATATATATATATATAATATACTTTAAGTTACTCATTGTACGTCCAGCAGAGTGTCAAACACATTTATCCAAAAATTATATACTACACAAAAACGTGTTCTCGAGCGTAAACGATCATGCGTGATCGCGCGTTCCACTCCCAATTTTGCAGTTTACAACTCACGATGCCAAGGATACTATTTTGTACATAATTTATCTACTATATAGAAATTTTTTGTAGTTTGTTAATAGAAGGCCACATTCTTGTCAAAAAAAAAGGGAGTGAAAGGTAACACTATACGAGATTATAAAATAAAATGCGCGAACAATTCTGAATCTGTGTATGTTAACATTATACAAATCTTAAAAAGAAAATTGTAATTATCTCCTTGGGCACATAGTAGTCAAGAATACAACGGTAACAATAAAAATTGTTTAAACAGTGTGTAATTTCAAATGTATATTGATTCACTCTCGGGTACAAACTAATTTTATTTTACATTTGGTCGGTCTATTGAAATTGTATGTGAAACGTAATTGCGTATTTAACTCTAATATTAATTTCCAATTGAATTCAATATTATACAATGAAATTTAAAATAAATATAGAAAAAAAACTGAGTTTTCTAATATGTCACATACTTTTTTCGTAATATCTAAGAAAATGTATTAAAATTTACGCACGGAATCTTTTTGGAATGCATACAATTTTATCGTATTTACTCTATTTTATTATATCGTTTTGTACATGGAGTTTGAAGTTTTTGAACTTTTCAAGATCGTTTTATGAGCTAAGAAAATAGAGTGAAAGTGGGATAGTTAAAAGAACAGTTATTCCCAATGTCATCTACACATTATTCTCAATGTCAATAACATCTAATCTTTAAATTTTGTTTAACTTTTGATACATGATGCGCGCGGCGCGTATGAACTCACTGTAGATGACATTAAGAATGAAACTTTAGAGATTGATGCATACGAAAATTATCTTTATTTGCAGAAAATAGGTAAATTCATGTATTAATATTCATGTATTAATATAGGTAAATTCATGTATTTACATGATTTAGAAAGCATTAGACCCCGAGATAATAATTTTATTTATATCTTCAATCTCGTAAAACGATAGGAGAAAGAATAAATGTCATTCTGAACATTTCTCGCCCATCTTCTCAAGCAAATCCTTGTTATCGCGAATCATTTTTTCCAAACGTTCCTTTGTTGCCTGCGTCTGCCTTTGTTCCAGTTTACGTTTAGCAGACTCTATTGCGGTTCGATATCCTGTGACGTTGCGGAAAATTTTGATGTGCTTATCGCCCGCAGCCAACAGATATTCTCCCATAGCATCAAATACCAGGCATGTTATGGGACCTGTAAAAGATTTTGAAGAATTCGTCAAGTTATTTCAAATCCACATTGCTAAAACCATCCTCATAAAAATTTAAAACGGTACTTTTAATACAGAATAAGTAATTAATTACCTTCCAATATTAAATTAGATTTCTATAAAGGAAACAATTGAGTTATAATTTTACCAAGGAAAATATCTTCTATGGTAGTATCCAGAACACCGGTAATAGTGGAGTAGAAAGATATAGATGATCCATGGGCGATCACAAGGACTTCCGCGTTCGGAGATAAGGCAAGGCTTGCTGGTGCAGTGGTGTTCCAGGTACCAGTCATCAAAACGTGTGGATCTTCTCCTTTTTGAAATTCGACTGGAAAAGAACAAACGCATAAGAATTTCGTACATTTCACGCTTAAATCCTTTATTTATCAGGGATTTGTTATGTTACTTTTTGTATTGTAGAAACGATACGTCCCATCCTTGGACACGGTAGCCATGTGACTGGTATCGGCGCTGAAACTGAAGTCGTGAACCCCGGACGAGTGCCCGGCGAGGTCAAACGCTTTAGCCACCGTTTTGAACTCTCCGGATTTACTGAAGACCACCTCCCATACGTTCACGTCCGGTGTAAAACCTTACGAATGGATTGATCTTATTAAAATATTTGTATATTTTTCTCATGCTATAAAATGATGTAACTTTGATCCAAAATTTTAAAAAATGTCTAGGTAGCATGCATATCCAAAACAGGGCACAAGACGTCTTTAAGACATTATCTCATTTTACAGTAACTGGAACTAATTATATTTAATTACGGCAAAATGTTTTTTTACCCGAGGCAGCAACGAATCGGCCGCAAGGTGATATGCGCGCACGATAAGTAGATCCTAAATGCATCTCCACCATTGCCAGCGTCTGTCCTTTCAAGTCCCAAATAATAAGATCGTTCACTTTACTGCACGTGATGATGTACTTCCCAGTGCACGCGATATCCATTCCAACGACATCCTCAGTATGATGCTACAGTAATAAAAAAAAATTGATACATAAAGCATAAACAAATTCCACAAAATAGTAAATTTCATAAGTATGACTATGTGAATAATCTTAAGAGATCAAGCTAAATAAAATATATGCATTAATTATATTCATCAAAAGTTAGAAAGTCTATAAAAATCTATGAAATTTTGTAACACGATTATTCTAATGTATATATTAATTATTGTAAATAAACAAAATAATTCACGTACGAATAATTGCGTTGGTTCTCTAGGCTTTTTTCTAACTTTGAATTATTACAGAGCCTTATTTTAACAATAATATTCTGTTATTATAACATTTTAAAAAGATCTCTAAAAAAAATGTTGGCAAAACAAAGAAATATTTTGAACAAATAACATACGAGACAAGATTGTAATACCTGTGGAAACTCCAGAGCCTTAGTCGCAGAGGCCAAGTGACCATCCGATTTCTTCGCGATCTTGTATACCTCGATGGCATTAGCCACGGCCTTGTGAATAATAAATGCTTTTCCATCCGGGGACCAGCGTATCAAAGTCGCATGATCAAATTCTATGTTAATACGCAGAGATTTGCGATCTTTCGATGTGAAGTCTTTCGTGTACCACAACAACACAGTACGATCTGCAATAATGCAAAATATGGAAACAATTAGAATAAATTTGAGCCACATAAAAGAATTCTTAATTACGTTATCTTTACTGCCGATATTTTTCGATTTTCTCAAAGAAACAAAATTCATAAACAAATTTGATTTTATTCTTATTTTTTATGAGAAATTATCTTTTTTTCTCAATTATATTCTTTATTCCGGAAAATAATGTTATTATATATAGAATAAAATATACAAAATAGTAGAATATTAATAATTATAATATTAATCTTGAACGAATTGACAAACATCAAAAAAATACAATTGATCTTTTACAACTCTATTAATTAGGAATATTAATTAAGTGATACGGGATAAATAATTAATAAATCGTAAATATTATTACAAAACCTTTTTATTCAACAATGAATAGTCTTAATTCAAAATATGTGTAATACAAATGTGCGTTGAAACAAATTGAAATAACCTGATGAAAAGATAATCCTGATTAAGAACGGTATATTTATCACAAAATTAATTAGGAATTATCGTAAATATCTCATTCATCTTACATGCATTTTCTTCTCTATTCTCTAGACAAAAACCATGCATTTCGTTATCTTCAACCTATTTAACATTCCTAAAAATCAAATTGATTGAAAGTAGCTAAAATTAATTTAAATCTCTATGATAAACTCCCCGCATTCTAATAAATATAGATCATTTTAAGTCTTCATTCTTCGATATTGCAGAGATATAAAAATCTTGATACATTTACAATTAATGATAATAACATGATATAACTTATCTAAGATAAATTAGGTTTTTTGTTTGGTGGTGGCATAAGTTCTGAATCATCTCGTGCAAATCTGTATTTCTCGATATAGTCTAAAAGCCGTTCCTTCGTAACGGGTTTGTTGATGCTTTTGCACACAGACTCGGCAGTTTTAACGGAGTTAGGAAACGACTTGTCTATTCGCTGACGCATGAAGACCCATTGACCATTTTCGAATTTGCACTCGACAATCGCGTTGTCCAAATCTCTCATATGCTTGGTAATCTTTATTGTACCGTACGGTGTACTAAGTCCTCCTACAAAAAGATGACCAATCTTTCGCGGCAGAATTCCCATGCCCGATTCCGTGACAATTCTCAGTTTAAAATCTACGGAGTTTAACGACAATGGTTTCCATTTTAAGACCTCGATGCATACTCCCGAGTTGTACTTTTCCTTGGCAGGTTGAAATATTAAGCCATCTGGTTCGTGAGAAAGCTGTTTAGCGAATTTCTCGCCCAACAGATTTTTGCTCTGTGTTACGTCCCAGAAATATTTCAATCGTACAGAGAATGGTTCTCGTTCCTTTATTAATCGTCCCTCCTTCATAGCTCTTAGTCTACCAGCGATTATTTTATTTTCGATAATGGAGTAACGATC